CTTCTTTGGATGTGATCAATCTATAGTTATTTTTTAATTATTTATGACTAAATTGCATATATTAGCAATTCTACTTCTCCTCCATCTTCTTCTCTTTCTCTTCCTCCTCCTCTTCTTCCCGTCATCTCTGGTATGCATTTCAGCATGTGGCTGCATACATTTTGTTGTACCATAAAAAAATAAAACCAAAAGGGTTTTTCTTTTTTTAAGCAAATGAAAACCTTTGTAAATAATCATTTTGAGTAAGCTTCTTTCCCTTTTTTATGCCGTGTTGAGTAAGAGAGGTGTAAAAATACCATATACACAGGACTGCCTATGCTGATTAAAGCAAATGGATTCAATGTACATACTCTGTACAAATGAGTCTAATAAATATTTGTTGAATTATATCGCTAAAGCCTTTTTTCATGGCATTTGAATTGGACGCACTTAAAACAAAAAAATTATATATGTATATTGTATGCAAACCACTTTGGTTAAATGTAATATTCATCAATTTTCATTAACCATTAAATCCATTTAGGTTTGCGGTGGTCCAGAGACGGTATTGGTGGGGCGTAAACAATGTTACACTGTGTTACAGGCCAGTGCGTCGCAGGACAGAAATGCACACAGGCAAAAGCTGGCGAATTGGAGTTACAGGTTTACCCGAAACTCTAAACCAGCAGGTGCTTCTCGCAGGCAAGGCTGGTGCAGGATTCGACCCGACAGCTCTGTTGTTACGAGCCGAATTTGCGAGGCCCAACTGTTACAGCTGTAGTGCCACCTTTACGCAAAACATTAGCCTGAATGTGACAGTACATACAACTGCATGGTACGGAGCACAGAAAAAAAAGGTTTTGGGAACCGTAAATTAAAGGTGACGTAAACAGCAAATGCATGTATAGATTGGTGCATGCAGCTTAACTGTAACAAACTGTAATCCAGATATACTGTATGTAAAGGTGCCCCACCTCATTACCAGAAGAAGGTCCCTGGGCTCGATACATTCACAGACAAACATCATGGAAATCAATGTGTAAGCAAAGCAGACTCTTTCCAATGTTCAACTATATACGTAAATACATATTTGTGCTACCCACAAGCCTGAATGTTAAGCTATTACATTATTTGTGCAAACCTGAGCCTAATTTATGGTGAAAATATTTTTAGACAAGTTAATGTTACTTTGCATGCCGTATTCTATTGCCACATTAGACAAACATATATGAGCTTCAGTTGAATTAATCCTGCATTTATGTTTAGAATAAGTTCTACAGTAAGTACAGTTTTGAAGAAAATCCTTGAATTGTCGTAAGGTGCTGAAATTAGATTTGCTGCCTTTGGCATGTGATGTTTGAAACTGTTGGAACTATGGAATGTGACTTTAAACAGTAGGAAAGTGTCAGTTAATTTTGACATCTGAATGCATGTATCATCATAAACATCCGTTGCTCACCAGCACAAAAATATCCATCCTCTGAAAGCCGTGCCCTAATCCCCTAGGCTACAATGTAGTCTGATAAGAAATGATGAGGTTGTAAGTTTTGGTAATCATCACTCCATTTCACTCTAATGAGGTTTGCAGTGACCCGTTTCAGCTCAAGATTATTAGCATTAGTTTCAGCTGCAGATGCATTACAAAGACAACAGTATTGGTTTCTCATCTCATTTTATATTTGCAATAAACGTGTCTCCGTGCCGTGCACGCATGGCCTCAGTGCCCCAGCTGCTGTACGCGTATATGACTTTGTTGAGTCTTCATGAGCATCGTGCCTGAGCAACTCTTATGTCCATGACTGTCGGGTCGTGCTCGCAGGATAACACGAGCCCGGCTTGGCGATTCATCCAGCAGAGGCGCCCTAGAGTCTCCGGCCTGGCGATGGATCATTTCTGCCGCCGAATTACCGCCTGATAGTCACCGTTCACCGAAGGGCCAAAAAGCGTGCCTATATCCATCTCTACTTATCAATATAAAAAACGTGATTTTCTCAGACTGAGACGTCCGGGCACACATTTGCCGTCACGTCCCTGTGAATTTGGGTGAGTCATCGGAATCCTGACAGTTTTCTTCCTGTCTGAAGGAACTGGTCCACATAGGGTCAGTGTGCCGTGTATCCACAACAAGTGGGACGTCCTCGTCGGCAGCGTAATTGACTCTGAAGAGGCAAGAGCTAAATGCTAAGTAGAAGCAGATTGAATAATAACTTTGGTATTCGAACAACAGGTTGCGTAAATGCAATTATTTGGCCGTTTGTGTACTGCGAGTAATGAGACTGAAAAAAACCCGCGGACATTTATTATTTTTACAGGATCTCAATGAAGTATATTTATATTGATAAATATACCCCATGGTAAATCGCTCTCATCACAGAGTTTTAATGCCAACTGGTCATTTTTTTCTGAGATGCTTGTCCACATCGCTCACAGCGATCTTCATTTCTAAATTGTGTCCCTTGGTGATTGATGATCTGGGGGAATAATCTTGATATCACTCAGCTGCCTCCCCCCCCCAACATTCATAACCGATAATTCTTGGCTCTTTTTAGCTTGTCAATATCTGCCGGATTATTTGTCTTCATCTTCCCAGCAGCTGTGAAAGGTGACAATTCATGCCCGTGTGAATGGTTTTCTCTGCTCATCAGACAGTGAAATTGACTAATCAAGTCAAGCTGTGAAATAATTGTGTAAATACATAGCAGGCTACCTCATATACACATACATTGGTGTGTGTGTGTGTGTGTGTGTGTGTGTGTGTATCCGCTTCACATATAGAGGTGCAGTTGTATGTATACATCAATGGATAAAAAACATTAGAAAACAAAATCCCATACGCACTTTCAAAATGTGATATATGCTTCACATAAACTTCTCATGAATTTGAAACACACCCAAAACATAATGGCTGAACGGATGCCAATATTATTAATAGGGAAAGCAACTTTCTCTATCAATAGTAAATATACATATCATTTTGCTACTCAACACATGATTAATTACAGGCCATTGAATAATGATTCAGGGGATATTTCATTGTTCTAAGTAATACTGTAATGTAGAAGTAGCACATTACTGTGGAATTAGATGTGACGCTTTCAAATGCCTCCGTTACTGTGCCTTTTTCATTCATTTATCATGTTCTGCTGTTGTAATGCTGATGGTAAGTGACAGGATTTTTGCTTTTTCAAAACCCCACATACAGAATAGTGGCTTTAGGCTCACTGCTTCCTAGACTTTAAATTTAAACTGATTCCAAGCTAATTAAGGTCTGCATATAGGGTAGGGGGGGGAGGGGGGCATCGTTTAGTGCTAGTCCCTAATGTACCGTGCCAAACTTCACATCATCCTCAAAAATTTTTTTGCAGGCTATGTGGAAGCTGATTTTCTTGGCGCGGCCTCAACTTGACCCAACAAGACGTTAGCGTGCGAATGACCACAAACTCTCAAATGTGGAACCATGAAAAAAACAAAAAACAAATAAATAATCAGTGCGGGACAAAGCACTATGGGATCCTTCAACACTAAAGAGCACACTGGACCTATGGCAGAAACCTTCATCTGCAATCTTCCCTGAAAACCATGGCATGGTTCAGGGGGCTATTCTCCAATGGACGAATTAAGCAAACATTGCCGACACTCTCACGATCTTGTTTACTCATCAGCAGATTTATGTACTTATTCCTTTTGTTCTTCCTGTGGCAATTAATCAGGAGAGGGGTTCATATTAATAGCTGGCTTGATGATTTACACACCAGCAACGTTCTTAAACACCTGCGTTTCATTTAACAAGGAACACCTGGAGAGCTGGATAATGTAGAGGAAAGAATCTGGTACTTTTGGGTTGTCTGCTCCCTGGAGACCCACTGGCCTTCTCAGGTGAAGAGAAAGGTTGTGAATTCAACACCGTGATGCGGCCATGGGCCAAACAGGACGGATCACCTGGTACGAACAAGTCACGGTGTCACATTAACTGTGTAGCGACAACTTCATATGACATGACACTGAAGCTGGACATTTGATCGAGTCATTTTAAAAAATGAGAATACTAACTCAGTGTTGTCCCTCGCATGTGTCAGCCAATATACCTCACTTATACTATATAGCCAAAAGAATTTGTTCACCCATTTAAATAGAGGAATTAAGCCACACCCACTGCTGACACAGGTGTTTAAATAAGCACACAGCCATGCAACCTCTAGCAACAAACCGTGGCAGGAGGATGGGTTGTAGTACAGAAGATATTAATGAGTTTCCGCTTGGCACCATTATAGCACGGGTTTCTAACCGGATGAAAACTAGTGCTTTTTAGTTGGGGTGCCACGGCAGAAAAAAGGTTGGGAAACACTGCATTGTGGGACACCACCTTCCTAACAAGTCAGAGCTCCGAATTTCGGCCCTGGTCAACTGCAAAGTGGAGCCATTGCGGTGATGTCTGGGAGAAAGTTCAGCTGCAGAAAGAGACATGATCACCCAACATCAATACCCAACCTGAATGGCAGCAAATCCCACCCGCAATGTTTCAACATCCAATGGAAGGCCATCCCAGAAGAGTGAGAGGCCATAATAGAAACTGCATATTAATACATTTTGTTTTGGAATGAGACATTAGTGTTGACACACTTTTGACCACACAGTATACTTTATTCATACACCCTTGACTAAAGACCTGCCCAGGACCAGAAGTCCACTTGACTTGAATACAGTAACTTCCACCAAAAAATCCCATGGCTCATCCATTAACATGGTGGAATAGATTGTGTATTATTTTTTTTCCACAAAGATTCAGTTGCTGGAATATCAGTGAGATATTTGTCCACATAGCATGCGTTCGTGCAAAAACAGATGAGAGGAGAGAGGATAAACACCAAAGGTATTATTGCATCGCTACGGAAGCATGCCCATAGTATTGTTATTCTATACACTGCAGACTACACTGTCAACAAATAAATATATGTAGGGGCAGACTGGGTGAATATCTAAATAAGCCTGTGTGACTTGTTACAGAAAAGCTAGCAAATGCT